CTAGGGCATTTCCGGCGAGGAAATCCCGCCGTGTGTGAATCAAAGAATTAGTAATGCGAACTCGATCACAATGTTGTTTACGAGATTTTTCTCGCCCAAAAATTATAGCCGTTTCTTTGATCGAAACTTTCAAAAAATCCCACCATTCGTGAATGGAAGGAAATGCCTCTATGAAATCCACATGAGCAGAAATGAGTTCAGAAATTTGCGAACAGAAAAGTTCATCCTTGAGCAAATCTAAATTTAGCCTCCAAATTCCAGGACCACGTGTGTAAACATCATGGAGATCAAGAGATAAGTGAACACTATCATGATCCGAGAGCACAAAAGGAAAAATTTCGCAAGTTTTAGCGTTAGCAGACAAATTAGGATCGATTAAAAATTTATCTAATCTAGTACCGATGGATTTATCCGAGTTGAACCATGTACATTCAGTTTGACGGCCATGCAGTTTTCGCCAAATGTCAATCAATTTGAATTGCGTGCGAAAGTCGATTAAATCTTTGGCTTGGGAAAAAACCCCACCGTGTTTATCCGAAGCAGTTTCTACACAATTAAAATCGCCAACAATAATTTTCAACGCGTTCGGGAAGAAAAAATCGTGTAAATTTTCATAGAAGCATTTTCGTTCAGTTAAATTTGTAGGAGCGTAGATATTAACAAGATTAAAATTAAGTTCACCTAGACTCGCCAAAAGACTAACAATACGGCCTGAAGAGTCTCGTTGCCACTTTTTAATTTCAAAACAAGAATTTTCGCGAACTAAAATAACAGTTCCGTCTTGTTTACCCAAGGCTGGAGACCAAAACCTAGGACCTTTCCATTTAGAACGGAAAGCAGAAATCAGAGAATCACTCACTAAAGTTTCTTGCAAGCAGACAAAATCAGCGTGTGAATTTTTTGCAAAGTCAAAAATAGCGCGCTGTTTGGCATCGTCGCCAAAACCTCGAATATTCAAAGTAGTAAGATTCGATCTGAATGTTTTAAATCATGGATTAAAATGCGGCAAGGAGACAAGTAAAGGCAAAGATCTTAAGAATTAGAAAGTCCGGTGATAAAATAAGGAAAACAAATCAAATAAATCAAGATTTTTTTTACCATTCTTATGCTTATTCGTGCGGCTAGTGTTCGGTTTTTTAGGCTTAGGACTAAGTTCGTCAGAGTCTGGAGAATGTTCTCGTACAGGTTTGCTAGTAACCAAAGTAGGAGCAGTCGGTTTACGGAAAGGGATGAAAGCATCTAATATTTTCGCAGGTTTACGGCCACTCCCAGCAGAGCGAGAGGATGATTGCGGCTCGGAAAACAGTTCCATAGTATTTTCTTCAGAAGCACTGGCATAGTCCTGGATAGTAGAGTCGCTAGAGTCTTGGTCCATGGTTGTTTCTTCGACGGTAGGAGAGTCATCATCCATTGGAGAAGTTTCCGAAGGTCGGTCCGAAGGTTGATCAGTAGGCGTGTTGTCCAAAACAGGATCAGAAATATCAGCGTTTGAATCAGTTGTAGCATTATCGGAGTTAGTAGATTCAGTAGATTCAGTAGATTCAGTGTTCTCAGAGTGTTCAGAATGTTCAGTGTTGGAAGGTGTTGAGTCAGAAGTGGGCGCGGGAAAATCGACCAAACGCGATCAAGAGAAAGGACAGGTACGTGCTCGATGAGCTGGTGACTTGCAAATATTACAGTAAACAGGGCAAGGACAATCAGAAGCCAAATGGCCGGACTTCTCGCAGTTAAAACAGGTGATAGTATGACAAGCAGAGGCCAGGTGATTTGTTTGTCCGCAGAGGCGACATGTGCGGGGCTGACCAACACAACGAAACTGCACATAATAACGATCAAATCTTAGAAAGCTCGGGACGGGGCGTTTGATGCGAACACGGTAGTGACGAACACCATCATGAACGTGTTCCCAGCCGGGTTGAGTGAAATGGCCACGGCGATGGTGGATAACATCACAGTACTGCGAAAGGCGTTAAATTATTGCAAGGTCCGGTAATTCGTGCGGTGCGTCATAAACCTGAAGATATGTTAACGGGCGATCAACATCTTGTAAGGCGTATGGTGTATTGCCAACTTTCAAAACACTTTTACGGAGAAACAGTTCTTTACACTCAGCTCGGCGGAAAGTTAAGACGACTTGACCATTGCTAGTACGTTGAAGACATGACACATCACTACTCTCGACTTTAGCTTCTCTCAGCGCTGTAAACACATCGGTGGCGGGAAGACGGACTTGTGGTGTAAAAAAAGCGGTCAAAGGCCGGTTAGGCAAAGCATTTTCATCTCTCACGACAACAGGAACGGAACTCACATTTTTCTCTGAAACAACGGACGAAAAAGACTGAACTGGAGCGGATTTGTTGGGGGTTTCGGCCCCACGAGCGGTAACAACTACATCTTCACAAGATTCTCTAACATCAACTGCGCCACGGGAAGCATCGATCCCGGCATTCGTAGCCATCCTTGTAGCACGTGCGTCTCGCGTAAAAACACGTCGGGAATCGCTTTCGAAACAGAAAGAGTTTTGAGAGGGCAAAAAAACCCTCTAAAACAAAAAGGCCACAATTCTTTGAAAAAACTAAAGTCCTAATGGCGTAAGATACTTTTTTTTTCTTTAAATAATTTATTTACAGATCACAAGAAAGTAGTTACAATCAAGTGTAGTTGGAAAAATTAAAAATTTGCAATAGGGTGGGGCTGGGCTAGTAGCACGCGGTCACTAGGACCCAGGCCCCCGAGTCGCTGAAATTGTAAGTCTAAGGAAAGAAGATCGATGGACCCGGGGTTTTGGCGGCCCTGTAAAGTTCCAATATATGCCGCCTACTTCCCCGGAGATAAGGATAATTATCATGATTTAATTGGTTGCTTACAGGACTTTAGAAGTCCTAATATAGTAGAGCAGTATTAAGGGTAACTAAGGTGAGGGGGTCCCCGGAGCAGTGAGGGGGTCCCCGGAGCAGGGAGGGCCCCGTGAGCGAAAGGTACAGCCAGGCCCGCCCTACTCCCGGGAGCCTGGTGACTAAATAAGGACCTGAAGGGTCTGATTTTCAATTTTACATAAGACCTGCTTGTGGCCCCACGATTTTTTAAAGACAGGAATATTATTGAAATTATAAGCGGCACGGATCCGCTGCCGCAGGCGATGCTTAACTTTACGAATTGTAGCCGAGGCCGGCTGATGTGAGTTTTCGAAAGTCGCTAGATTCCGAGCCGCCCAGATCTCGTTCAGAGTGACGTTGATAATTACATGTACGAGAGCAACGGAGTGCTTATCGCCGGTAGGCAAGCCGTGTTTGAACAAGATCGAGGGCGGCGAGGGAGGCAGCGTTATAGAGAAAAATTTATTAATGAGTGTAAAAGCCCACTGCCAGACTTGAGGTACAGAGGTACACTCGCATAAGGCATGAGAGAAGGATTCACGCTTCCCACACCGAGCACATCGGTCGCTGACTTTCAGCCGACACCAGTTCTTAAGATATGCTCGGGTTTTTAAAACGCCGTGTGCAATACGCCACGCGATATCCGCTTCCCAATTCGTACTCAGACCACCATAAATATGAGACCAGATAGAGGGCCAGGGTAGAGGGGTATGTAAACGCTTCTCCCAGGCCCCTGCGGTAGGCAGGCGCCTAGGGGAGGGGTAAGTGAAGTAGAAGGTTTTCACTCGGTAATTCGGTAACAGGGTAAGGTCGAGGTTCAGTCGGTCTACCGCCGTTAAGACGTGTGTAAAATATTTCGGGGGAGAGTCTCCGATATATTTAGGACACGCGTTCGATCTGAGAAAAGACCAGCTCGGGACCTTACGGCTCAGAACTAGGCCGACCCAGTAACGGGCGAAGAAAACCCAGTTAGACGTACACGAGGGATCGCCTATCTGGGGTACCCAGCGTAATTTTAAGGCTCTCGCTTTTTCACTGGGGTTAATTACCGCTAAGCCGCCATGCCTTACCTTGCGTAAAATCCGCGAGGTGAGTTTCTTGTAGTAAAAATAAATCAGAGGACATGCTACGCAGACACCCAAAAACCCTAAGGCGCTTATGGCTTTCGGCAGCGCCGTTAACGTTAATGGATGTCAGCGAGACAGCCATGGCGAAAAACAAAAAGTACAAAAAATAAGTGAACGCGACGGTAAGAGAAACGTTAGTTCTTGAACAGGCCGGGGTGTTTCCGGCCAAGATCCTCGGACATTGCGACCAGCTCGGCGAAAGCATCTTGGCCAAGAGTACGGTGTAGGTGTACCCACGCGTCCTGTTCTCGATCGTTCAGCCCGCGGCGAACAGCATGTTTAAGGTCAAGGTCAGCGAAATTTCCGTGTTTATATTGAAAATAAAGAGCGCGAGCTCGATAATATTGAGGACCTTGAATGATGGTCATTAGTTTAGTGCGCTCGGGTCCACTCTGCTTTAGTCCGCGAAGAAAACCCTGGATAGTAGGGGAGGCTTTTCCCTTGTCACTGACGCGCTGTTTCGGCTCTGGCTTGTCAGCTTTTCCGGGGGATGAGGGGGGGCGTTTTCTCGACTGTTGAGACTGAGAGTCGAAAAGGTCTCGCGAGGCCGAGGAAAGCGAAAGGTCCGGCGTAGGAGCCGTAACTGAGGCGTAGCTCTGTGTAAGCGGAGAACGGTCCGCGGAGTTTTCAACCAGCGGAGTGTCCTCGGAGGTTTCATCAGAGTTTGTTTCCATTTGAGACTCCTGAGGGGTGGTGGGGTTAGGAGGGTCGGCCAGAACGCGATCCTCCGCGCGTAGGTGACTAAAGCGTGAACGTTGTTTCGGGCAATTTTTCACGACATGTTCCGTTGAGCCGCATCGATAACAGGTTATCGGCTGCCCAGTGTACTTAAAGAAAATTTCGAGGCCTTGAGTGACCACTTTCCGGGGGAGGTCCCTATCCAAAGACGTAAATTCTGCCACGCGTATGCCGCGCTCGATGTTCCTAAAGCCCTCCTCGTTGTAGCAAAGACGGCGAAGATTTTCGGACTTAAGTTGTCCATATTGCTGTAGAAATTTTACGATCTCCTGATCGGGGAATTCGACGGCGACGAACACCGAGACGTGAATCGTTTTGGCTCCTGATAGCTTGAGCGGCTTTCGCTCGCCCCGTAATCGAAGCCGGACGTAGCCAGGCGTGTCGCCGCTTCAGTCGAACGAAGAGTAATGTCAAAGCATTTTCCTCCAAAATTCGGCACGATGCCTGTGATTTCCTCTTGAAAGTCCGGGAGAGACCGAACAGTTTCCAACGCATTAATTTCCATATTGTCCTCAACAATGAGACGCACAGTTTTTGTGTGCGCGAAGGTTGCGCGGGGTCGCGCAATCATCGCGCAAAGCACGTGTCTGGCGGCGTAAAAGAAATCCACTCAAATCGTCGAAAATAAACCAACAACGCAAAAGCAAACCTCGCAAATGGAATCCCCACAGTAAAAGGAAACGAACGAGACCAAAAGGAAGGCGATCGAAGCACAGGAACGGGAACTGTTCACGTTTTAGGCGGAGAAACCGAAAACGTGACCGATAAGAACAGATTTTTTTTTTTTTTTTTTTTTAAGAATATAAAAACCCCCGCAGGGGTGTTTTATTGAAAAAACAACTCCACCGTATTTACAAAGACAGAAAAAGGAAGAAAAAGAAACAATACAAGAAATATTTACAGGCGATCAACTAAATGTTCATAGGCGAAAAAGAACAAACTAAAATTAAACGCGGCTATGTACAAAGATATCGAGGAACAGCTAAATAAAGCGAACTAAAATTAAAAGCGGCTATATACAAAGGCTTAAGAGAAAAAAGAAATAGAGCGAGTATCAGAAATTTTACAGAGAATGCTACCAGTAGACCAGAAATTTTCTTTTTCGTCTTGTTTTGCACATAAAATGCGGCAGGAAATATCCTTCTTAATCAGGTTGACGATTTGATCAGCATTTAAAACAGAATTCCGAAAAGTCGCAAGATTCCTAGTTTGCCAGATCCAAAATAAGACGGTAGCAATCACGTAGCAGTAGAGCGAAAAAGAAGGCGAAGAAGCGTGAGACGAGAAAGGGAAGAAAATACAAGAAGAGTTAACAGAGAAACGGGAAGTAGAGGCGAGACAGATAAGGCGAAAAGTGCCTCCACACAGCACAGTGGAGGGCAGAAAAAAGAAAACAATGCTCAATTGTTTCAACTTGGGAACACAAAGCACACTTATCAGATTTAAGTTTGTATCCCCAAGTTTTCAAAGCATATCGAACTTTAATTGCACGGTGAATTATCAGCCAAAGTAAATCGGTTTTCTTATTCTCAATCAGCTTAAGGCGAGACTTGCGCCAGACCGCGGCCCACCGGTTCATCGGCCTCGCAAGTGAAGCGGCCCAAAAACCGGAGGAGCGCGGAGCGGCGCTCGGAAGATCTAGTAGAAGACTATACAAATTTTTACAAGAAAAATCAGCCGGTAAAGAACCGTGTTTACAACGCAGAGAGGACAACAAAGATAAGCAATTACGGTAAAAAGCAGACGGTTCGGAGGACAAAGGAATTGAGCGGGAAGAAAAATCAAAACTAGGATCAAGATTAGTAAAGCGATTTCCGAAAAAATAACGAGCTAAAAAGTGCCATTTGCATGTGCCGAATCCCTCCCGATACCCAGAGAGACCCGACAAACGCAAACTGGAACACTTAGTTTCAAAGTCAACAATATTGAGGCCCCCACGCGCGATGGGGGCCACGCAACGCGCTCGGCTTACAGTTTCAGATTTTGATTTCCAGATGAAAGGCCAAACGGCTCGCTTGTATTCAGTGGAAACCCATTTTGGGGGGGAGAGTACTTTGGCTACATGCCAAAATTTACTAGCCCCGAGAACGTTTAGGATCATGCCTCTGCCTAGAAAAGAAAGATCTCTTTGCGACCACAGCCCTAAAGTTCTCTTTAACTTATCTAATTTGCAACGCCAATTATCTTCATCAACGTTTACTAATCCATTCGAAAAATAAACTCCTAAAATCTTAAGCTTACTAACCCATTGTAAGCCGAAGGGGGAGGCGCCATTAGCTCTCCACCTACCAAGCCACATCGCCTGGGACTTGGTGGTGTTGAGCTTGGCAGTCTCTAAAAGGTGACAGAGAGATCTCTCGTTCTTAACGAAATTGGTGGCGTCATCGGCGTACTGCGATATTTTAAACTGAAGGCTACCTGCTCCAGGGAGCAGGAAGCCTTCGATCGCAGGGTTTTTACGGATCTGATTAGCTAGAACTTCAGAAGTTAAAACGTAGAGAATTGGGGAGAGAGGACATCCCTGCCTAACCCCCCTCTCTAGGAAAACAGGAGTAGAAAGTTTGCCGTTACAAATAATCCGCGAAAAGACATTCGAATAAAAGATTGAAACCCAACGACAAAAGGACGGACCGAAACCAAATTTACTTAATACTCTCATGAGGAAATCGTGATCTACTCTATCAAAGGCCTTCATCTGATCAAGCGTGACTAAAATTCCGGTCTCGTCCGTTATGTTTATCATATCTAAGGTGTCGCGGATTAGATGCAAGTTAGAGAAGATCGATCTATTAACTACACTACAGGTCTGGTCAGAGTGGACGATTGAAGGCATAACTTGTTTCAGACGGTCGGTAATTATTTTCGAAGCTAATTTGTAGTCACAATTAAGAAGCGATATGGGCCGCCAATTCTTAGCCAAGCGTTTATCATCCTTCTTATAAATAAGGCGCAAGAGGGCTTCGCGCTGGCTCGCACAAAGCGAGCCAACCCGAAAACAGTCATTCAGAACAGAAAGTAGAGGGTCACACAACAAATCCCAGAAAGCGGAGTAAAATTCAACAGGAAGGCCATCAGAACCGGGCGATTTACCGGTCTGAAGGCCTTTCAAAGCGGCAGAAAGCTCGTCTTTTGTGAACAATCCCTCGCATTGTTCGCGTTCTAAATCAGACAAAGAAAGGTCAAGATCATCGATAATTTGGGTCTGAATTTGCATATTAAGAGAATCCTTGGAGAATAAAGCTTTGTAAAAGTCAACCAAAACAAGTTCAATGTCATCGTGCGAGAATTTTTCCTCGCCAGATTCATTAAAAAGAGACTCAAAAATATTCTTTTCCGCGCGTTTACGCTCGAGGCGAAAAAAGAAACGAGTGGGCTTCTCGCCCTCCTCGATCCACCGCGCTCGCGAGCGGACTTTAGCGCCCTCGCACTCATTATTAATAACTGCCTCTAAGGCGCTCTCAAGTTTGTTTACATTAGAAATCTGGTTGCGATCGCCAGCAAAAACAGCCGATTTAGCTCTGAGTAAGCGCTTGGTCAAAGAATTACGTTCGGAAAGAAGTTGTCTACGTTTTCGGGAAGAGAAATCGATACAGGTACGACGGATCTGAATTTTCAAGTTATCCCACCAACCTTCAAGCGAGTCGAACAGAGGAATCTTTTCTTTCTCAGAAGTGATAAAAACAGTCATAGTATTAATAAAATCGTTATCGGAGAGAAGAGAGCAATTAAATTTCCAAACACCGCTTCCGTGCAAAGAAACATTAGCCGGAGAAATAAATAAATCGACAAAATCATGGTCAGAGAGAGAACAAGGAAAACAATTATTTCCGCGAACTGACTGCAAAAGAGAGGAAGAAATATAGAAGCGATCGAGGCGAGAAGCCTGGGAAAAATCTTTATTAGACCAAGTAAAAGAAAGCGCTTTCGGATTTTGCTTACGAAAGACATCAACAAGGCAGAAATCGGACTTAAGGGCTAACAAGCAACGCTTGTCCGCGCTAAAGTCCGATTTAATATGCAAACGGTCAAGTTCAGAATCAATACAATTAAAATCGCCACCTAAAATTAAATCGCCGGGTGATAGAAAAAAGGTATGGAGACGGTTGAAAAATAATTTACGATCGGACACGGTGTTTGGAGCGTAGGCACAAATAATATTAAATTTAAGAGAGTTAAGATCAACAAGAAGGCTTAGAATTCTACCATCAGTGTCGTGAACATAGCGAATAATCTTGCCAGAAAATTTAGGGGAAACAAAGATAGCTACGCCGGCAGATTTGCCGATCCCAAAGGACCAAAAACATTGGCCGTTAAAACATTTCTCAATTAAATCAGCTTGAGATTTACAGGAAATATGCGTCTCTTGTAAGAGAAAAAAATCATAGTCTAAATTTTCGTTTAACTCATGGAGAAAGAGATCGCGTTTACGGGTAGTGCCTAGTCCACGAATGTTGATGGTAAGAAATATAAGAGCACTGTAAGCGAAAAATTATTAAATTAAGAGAATTAGTACGACTTACTCTTGCCCTTTTCTCTCCGGTACGACACTCGGGTCCATCCATCATTATCTGACTCACCATCACCGCTTTCGCGATCGCGATGAGAGGACCGATCGCGAGAAGAGCGATAGCGATCGCGATCTCGCTCGCGATCGTTCCTCTCCTCTCTTCTGTAACCATCATCATCTTTATATCTCCTCTCCGAGTACGTATCGTGCTTTTTTCTGTCGCGATCTCTTCGGTCCTCACGTTCTCTGTCCTCTCGTTCCTTCTCCTTCCGATCTCTTTCTTCTCGCTCCTTTCGTTCTCTGTCCTTCCTTTCTTTCTCCTTTCGCTCCTGCTCCTTCTCTTTCTCCCTGCGTGCACGCTCCTCGCGCCTCGCGCGTTCTTCTTCTTCTCGCTTAGCGTGGTTACTTGCCTCTTCCGCTTTTCTCGCCTCATCAGCTACCTTTCCGCTGTGTGCAGCACCGGAATAAGACTTCTCTTGGGGCTTTGCACCAGTGATGTTTGAGCTGTAGTAAATAAACGGACAGGAGGTAGTCTCGTGGCCGTCTGAGAGGCACACGCGGCAGAGCGCTGGCTGGTCACACTGCTCCGCGCGATGGCCGGGCTGCTCGCAATTAAAGCATCGTTGCGACCGACAAGCGGCCGCAAGATGATCCTCGGCTCCGCATTTCCTACAGGTCTTCGGCTGTGAGGGATACCAAAACCGGCAGAACTCGCCGGCGATGAAGGCTTCCGCCGGGATGGGCCGCTCAATACACATCCTCGCAGTGCGAACACCATTAAAGATGGCGTCCGCCACGCGGTCACGTCGGAAAGAAATAACTCGGCCGTAGTGGCTCAAACGGCCGATGACCACGGAGTCGGGAAGCTCGTTGGAAAGCTCGTAAATTTTCACGATAGAGAAACAACAGGACAGAACAGCCAGCAATTGTAATTGACTGCTCGTTCAGGGCGGCGTCCTTCACGGCTTTGCTGCCAAACGTGACCACCCAAGAATTATTACTCGCTCTCCGTTGAACGGACCGGATATCCTCGATGTCAATACCAGCCTCGTCGAAACCCACAA